GTCTTTGTCACAGAGGTCCTAGGAGAGGAGAACCCTCCCTCGGACAAGCCTTGAAGGCAGTGTCTGAGACATTTCCTCCACAAGCCAAGTTCCAGCTGCACAAGTACAGGTTTGGGATTGTGTCTGTAAGGATGCCCTTCAGTTTTCCGGCTAGAAGTTCACCTGTTTCCAGCTCCTGAGAGTCTGCTCCCTTGCTCGCCAGCGGGGCCCCAGGTGGCAGTGCGGTCCAGCCTCGGAGCCCATCTGTCCTTTCCAAGGATCACCTGGGGCCAGTTCTGTTAGGCGTGGCCCTCTGCTACCCTGCCTGAGAGCCCTCTGACCTCTAGGACCACACACCCCAGAGAGCACCTCTCACCCATGTTAGTTTCCGTAAATGGTCAGACTTTCTGTGTTCATGTACCCCACACCTCCCTCGTTCTCTGAAATGGGGGAGCCAGCTCTTGCAGGATGGAGCCCACTGCATCTCCCCTTCATGGTGGTCTTGCAGGCTACCTTGGCGACATGTACATTGCTCTTTTTTGGCTCTTGTACAGTCAGTACGATGACACTTGTTTTGAGTTTTGTAACTTTGTAGCATTTTAGGTAAGTGGTGTTTGTACCTTGTGTGGGGTGAGAGGACTGTTGAATAAATTTAGGATTAGAGTGAAGACTGCCAACTCCTTCCACCTTCAGGCATGTGTGGTCTCCGTCCTGCTGACAACTGAATTTTGGTTTCATTGCCAGAGTGGCACATCCAGCGGTTTCCAGCCTGAGAACACAGCGTACCTTGGTTGCCTGCGGTTCCCTGTGGGTGGACAAACCGGGGGAAGGAATTTTTCATCTTTCTCTCCCCGGAAGCTTCAGACGCTGCCTAACCAGAAACATGAATTACAGTTGCTGCTACTTTAAGTAGCTGTGAAAAATACACTTTCCTACCTCAGAAATCGGTCCTTCCCACAAGGAAAGACAATGCTGGATGAGAAAGAACGGAAGTTGGGCTCACCCAGGGCTATACTGAGCCGGTGTGTCCAGGGCCCAGGGGTGGCAGTGAGACCCAGGCAGGACAGGCTGTCCCTGGCACCCGCCCAGCGATGCCTCTGCCCCAGCTCCCAGGACCATGACGTCCAACTTTGTATGCCTGCCTACCCGCCTGGGGCAGGGTGGCTGGCCTGGGCCACGGCTGCAGCTACAGGCCCCTTTCTGTGCCTCAACTGCCTCCTTCCCAAAGGAGCCTCTGGCCTCCCCGCCAGCCCTTCCTAAGGCTTCGGGTATCTGCTGGGGTTGTGAGAAGGCATTCCCTGCTCGGATGCTGCCACCCAGCCAGGGGCTCACCAGGGTTCCCTGTTAACATCCAAGCCCACCCCAGGGGCACCCGCTGACCCCAGCTTCTCGCCTCAGTGGAGGACAGTGCGGTAGCCGGGAGCTGCCCCACCTGGCCCTGGGGCTCTGGGTGCAGGCGCAGGGCCGCCCTGCCCCCAGCCGTGGGAAGCTCCCCCGGCCGCCGTGGGCAGAGGGCCCGCACCCTGCACTTGCCCTCTGGGGCTGGGGTGACTCAGCATTTCCTGGGTGCACCTGCATCTGCACACCAAAGCCCAGTACCTTCCTCAGCGACGCCCGGCTGGGGCTCCACATTGGTCCCTGCGGAACCTCACAGCCCTGGCTCGGATCGGCCTAGCAGACGCGGGCTGCGGGGCGGGGCGGGGC